GCTTCTCGATTCTACAGGAAATTACAAAAGGCTCTTGGTACGAGATTAGATTTTAGTACAACATAAATTTCTTCCTTATTCTTTCTTCTCTTTGACGACTTACTTGATCAAGTAATCATGAATTGTTTATTTGGATGGACACTTTTATAGTTAGTTGATTAACGAAATTTTCTAAAAAAATTATTTAATCAAGTCATTCTCTTAAGTTAGCCTATGTATAAAACATCATTCTAGGTTTATTTTTATGTCCTAACTTGTATGGATTAATTAAATACATCTAATTCCTAAGTTTCTCCAAGTTTGCACAACTTACATTTTAGTCACTATATTTAGCCACTAAGTTTAATTAAGCCCTCGTTCTTTTAATTGCTACACTAAAATTCCTAAGTCACTCCCACATATATAACACTTAACATTATGGACTTACTAGGCTAAACATTTAGTAATGCAAACATAAAACATTTTTTCCATGCAAACACTAAACATAATTTTCACAAAAAATTCAACATAAATTTACTTTAAACAAGCAATCATGCATACATACAAGTGCCTAAAGAGGTTATAGGCTATGGGTATTACACTCTAAGAGTGAGATTGGATAAAATTCGAGAAGAAACCGATTCAAACGACATTGTGTAGAGGTCATTGTTCATTAGTCTTTAGTGTAGGGTTTACTTCATGTGGATATCCTTTATCAAGAAATAATTAAGAAAGAATTTCAAACTAACTTGATTATTTCTAGTAAAGCAAGATACATGAAATAAATTTTAATATGAATTTGAAACATGAAGAATACGATGAAGATTATAAGTTTTATTATGCAATGACATAAAAGAGGAATCAAAATAAAAAACTAAAACGGTATTATCCTTACCGATTGTAGCCTCCTCAAGACTAGAATATTTAGAGTGAAGGGCCAAGGTATCAAGATCGGCTATTAGGTAATGCGTTGCTCTATTGTCAATTACCCATGATTGTTCGGGGAAGTAGTGGTGGATGAGTGTTTGATGTGTATTTTGGAAATGTATATTATGAATCGTAATGTCCCACTCCTTAATAATTATGTCAAATCAATATTGATAGAGATGTGTGATTGGCTAGGGGTGACAATATCTTATGCTGGCTAGAGGAATGACGTGGTATAAAAGGTGACCCCTCTCACATTCTCTACCTTATGGATTGAAATTTTGTTGTGTTGAATAGTTAGTAATAGGTAGAAGGTCAACGAGAGGAGAGGAGTCCTTCTGAGTTGTATCTCTTCACTCAATAGTAAGCCAAATAGATCATCAAAGGTGATAATTTGCAATCGACCTTCAAGGTTTCTAACGAAAGGTCTATAGGCGGACCTTAAACCATTTAAAACAAACATCAATAAAGTCATCTTCCATTATTGGGTTTTGAAGGACGACAAATTGATCATATACATTTCGGCATAGTATATATATGTATGTATGGCAATGTCATCATTTTTGCGTTCTAGTTGATGAAGTTGAGATTTCAATTGACAAACTTAAGCTTGTGAGCCGGATGCATAAGTGATAGCCAATTTTTGCCATGTTTCACGAGCAGTCTTGACACCAATAACTTATGACATTGCTCCTTTATACAAGGAGTTGATGATCTAACTAAGGACTAGTTGGTCTTTAACAAACCATTTTTTATAAGTCAGGTTAGGAGAACTATCCATTTGTGGAGTTTGTGGGAAGTCTAAACCATTAACATGATCCATAAGTCTATAATCTTAAAAAACATGATAATTTGAATGAGTTAGAGAAAATAATATGTGGAAGTTAGTTTGAGGAAAAGTTGATGTTGAACATTTGAGAATGGATAATTTGTGTAATAGCAAGTATTGGTTGATGATATGTTAGTTGTGCCTAAAAAAAGTTTAACGGAATTTGAAGAATCAAAAGACCCATATGACCAGTGGGTTGTTAAACATCTTAAAGTTCGATACCATAAAGAGAATGCAAATTGTTTCGTGATTTTGGTCACATTTTTTGTATTATTGAAAAGTCTTTTAAATAGAGTTATCATAAAAATAGTAGTTACAACAATATGATATTTACAATAATTAAAACTCAAGATATAGATTACCATGCATAACGAGAATAAAAGTATTAGGCTTTATCCTTATCACCATCGTTTTATTTTTGAACTTCCTATTAGTTTTCTTCTATATTGTTATCTTGATATTAATAAAGGTGACGTTTAAAATTGAAAGAGTAATGATTTGATAATATCTAGTGTGAATCCTTTGCAACCAAATAGTCATGAATATACATACACATATAATAATTCTCCAAAAATGATATAAAATCACAATAACTATCATCTTGTATATTTGTGAGTTATTCTTGACTTAAATTAAAAAGCTAAACAACTCGTAGAGACTAGAGAGACGCGAGCGTCCCATATTACTAAGACTCTAAAAGACATGTGATTCTGAATCACCTCTTATATATATATATATGTGTGTGTGTGTGTTGTAATTCAAGTATAAAAAAGCATCTGCAGATCCAACGGTTAAAGTAATTGCCTTCTAAGGAATAAAGGGTTAAACTTCGATCTCATGACTTTTAGGAATTTTTTTTTTTTTTGGTCACTACAAATTTATTATATTTGATTTTTATCCCTATAATAAATATTAAAATTGATTTTTTTTTATTTTGGTCCTTGTTTTGTAATATATATTTTTTTTATTTTGGTCACTAAAAATCTATTATATTTGATTTTTATCCCTTTAATAAATATTTTTTCTTGGCTTTTAGTAAAAATTTATGTTCTTTTTTTTATTATTTTGTGATATGTTTTTATTTTAGTCATTAAAATTTTATCATATTTGATTTTTATCCTAATCATACTAAAAATAAATATTTTATTTTTGTCCCTATAATAAATTTTTTTCTTGATTTTGAGTAAAAATTTATATTCTTTTTTCATTCTTATTTTGTGATATATTTTTATTTTAGTTATTAAAGTTTTATCATATTTGATTTTTATTTTTACTATACTAAAACTAAATAAAGTTTACTATCCTAAACTCGTTTTATGTACTATTCACTCCTTTTTTTGTTTTACCCTCACAATGTACTATTCACTTTTAGGTCTTTTTTTTTTACTCTTTACTTTTTTTCTTAGGGTTTTTTTTTTTTTTTGTAATTTTCAAATTATTTCGTTTTGATCCTCGAAATTTTATTACAAAAAAATATGAAAAGAAAATGGAAAAGTGTTGTAGCACTTTTCCTGTTCATTCACTCGTTTGTTTGTTTGTTTTTTTTATTTATTATTATTATATATATATATATATATATATATATATATTATTGCTTAGCCAAGCTTTTAGGAAATTTTTTTATTTTGGTCCCTGTTTTGTAATATTTTTTTTTGTCATTAAAAATTTATTATATTTGATTTTTGTGTCAATAATAAATATTAAAATTTTATTATATTTGATTTTTATCCCTATAATAAATATTTTTTTTTAGGTTTTTAGTGAAAATTTATGTTCTTTTTTGGTTCTTATTTTGTGATATGTTTTTATTTTAGTCATTAAAGTTTTATTATATTTGATTTTTATCCTTATTATATTAAAACTAAATATTTTATTATATTTGATTTTTATCCATATAATAATTTTTTTCTTGGCTTTTAGTAAAAATTTATGTTCTTTTTTTATTCTTATTTTATGATATGTTTTTATTTTAGTTATTAAAGTTTTATCATGTTTGATTTTTATCCTTATTATACTAAAACTAAATAAAGTTTACTATCCTAAACTTTTTTTATACTATTCACTCTTTTTTTCTTTTTTCTTTTTTTATCCCCAAATGTACTATTCACTCTTAGGTGTTTTTTTTTTTTTTAATTTTCACTCTTAGTTTTTTTTCTTAGTTTTTTTTTTTTTTGTAATTTTAAATTATTTCGTTTGATCCTAGAAATTTTAAAATAAAAATTTTAATCCCTAGCTAATGCACCACATGCCTTTTCTTTATTTTTTTCTTTGGTTTTTTTTCTTTGATTTTTTCTATCAATCTATGCTTTTTTTATTTTATTTAATTGGGTGTTAAAATTTTTAAAAATCAATCGTTATTTTTTTCCACACAAGCCGACGAATATATATATATATATATATAATTTTATTTTATTTTTTGGATATATTCTTACAAAATAATATATTTTTAAAGTATTTATTTTGTAATTCTTAATCAATATTTCAAGTTTAAATTATATATTACTAATTTTTTTAGGAATCTATAAATAAAAAAAAATCATGTTTTTTAAAACAAAAATTTTATGAAAAAAAAATTATTAAATAAAAAATTAATGAAAAATTATAAAATTTTGAAATAATTTTGTTCTATTTACTTGTAGCGTTGCGTGGATAATTTTAAAAATTAATCTTCTTATCAGCATTAAATAAGAATTTTTTTTTCATTTGTTAGTTTTTATAAAAGTCTATCTATTAATTATAACTTTATTTCTTGAAATAAAATATTATGAAAAAATATATTTTAAAAGTTTTTTAATTTTTAATTAATATTTTAGTTAAAATCAATCTATAAAGAAGAATGATTTATATTTTTTTAAATAAATAATTTATCAAAAAAATTAAATAAAAAATTATAATTAAAATTTTAAAATAATTTTATTATATAAGACCTGCAGTGCAGCGTGTGCAATCTACAATATAAACTAAAACTCACTCTAGCTAACAGCCTGTTACTTAAACTAACAAACAACCCACTCACAAAGTCGTACTGTAACAACTGCCACCTGGCAACGATTCAAAACAGTCCCGTTAGTTTACACTCTCTCCCCTAACAGCACCACCCCACGCGACAAGTATCCAACTACCCAGATGATAAAACCGGCATTGAGCACAACACAAAAATAGCAGTAACACAAACCAAAGGGAAAGTAAAAATTCAAATATTTCGAATCAGCCCGCCACTCACATAAAAAACGTTTCGTTTCTTTGTCTTCAGAAAACAAAAAAAATGCTTCGGTTTCCTTCTCCTGTTGAATGCACTGTCGCTTCTGCTCTTCTGCTTCTATCTAACACCACACCTCTCTCTCCTCCTCCTTTAAAGTAATTACTTAATCAATCAAAACTCGCTTTAATTTTGTTTGGATTTTAATAACGATGTTTTGGTTGTTTTTGTAGGCTCCGTGTTGATGGAGAGGAGAAGAAGAAGTCTGCGAAAGAAAGAAGTGATAGAACGAGCAGTAGTGAAGAGGAGAGCTTGAGCTTGGTGTCTAGTGGCTCCAAATCCTGTTTTTCATCTCTTACTAGTGATGGATCGTCGTTTAAGGAGATTAGAGGTCGCAAGCTACGGAGCGTCGCTGTTGTGTCTCGCTGCCATGAAATGAAGCTCAAGGTGATCCTCATTTCTTTCCGTTTAATTTTGGAGTTTCTGTTTGGCTTCCTTCTGTATACTTTGAGTGATTGTCTCTCTGTTGATGCTTAGTAGTTGATTTTTTACAGTTTTTGTGCTCTATTTGGATGATTTTAGCATAGCGATTTTTTTTGCTATTAATTGTTGATTTTGAGTGACTATCTCTATTAGAAGTAGTTTTTCTTCTTCTTTTTTAATCCGTTTGATTCTTGTCAGTTGATTTTTATATGATTTTTTGGTTCTGTTTGGATGATATTTTGAGTAGCAATTCCGTTAAAAATCATTATGAATCTCTTTAAGTTGATTTTCTTCTTCTGTTTGGCTGTTATTTTACTCAAGCTCTCTGAATCTTACTGCATTTGTTTTTTGTTAAGCTCTTTGGATTAAGGTCTTTATAGCTCTGTGTTTGCTTCTAAATCGCTCCTTTTATGCATTTTTTTTTTGTGATTTTGTTGTTGAACGAAGCGATTCTCTGTTTTTTTAGTTTAATTTCGAGTAATTTTTGCAGGTAGCGCGAAAGAAGCGCTCGAAGGTGGACTGGAGCTCCGGTCACCAGAAGTCTGTCATGCTATCTCCGCCAGAGGAGGAAGCAGCGGCGTCGACAGAGTCAGGTTCGTGCTTGTCAAGCACTTCCAGCGCTGCTTCAAGCCCGCGAAGCCACTTTATGGAAAGGAACGGATTAATGATATTGAAGCCGGCTCGTCATGATCGTGAGGAGCCAAAGAGGACCAGATCTGGCTCTGGCTCTGGCTCTGTCTCTGTCTCGCGTTACCTGAGCAGCCGAGCCGAAGCAATATTAAAGCTGCTGTCAAGTGATTGTTTCTCTGAATTGAGGATTCGTCAAGTGCTAGGCGACAGTCCTAGCACAAGCAAAGCTTTGAGAATGTGAGTGAGTGAGCTAGCTTGCTCACATGATTGGCACCTGGCACATTTGGAATGTGTTAGATCTAATTGTGCTGCGATAGTTGTTTAGTAAATTTTATTTATCACTTCCAAAAATTTTATCACCCTTTGATTTGTTGTTAATGAACTATGCTGAATTTTACTTACTGTGGAGAAATTTCAGGTTGTTAAGGCAAGAAGAGGTGAAAAGATCCGGTAGAGGAGGGAGACGTGACCCATTTATTTACAAGGTATTCGATTCATCTTCTCATAAATCTTTTACTGCTTTCACATTTGGATGAAGTGATTAATCTATGAAATTAGCACAGAAAATGTTACTGATATGTGTTATAATTGTAATTAGCGAGTACTCTTTTTGCAGATAGCATGAGAAATTATGTAGGGAGCTTGACCCAGCAATACTATATAACTATTTGGTAATCTTTCAAGTGTTTATCCATCCCACTAATAAGGGAAGTTTTGGTCGGCGGATTTATATAAAAGTGATATAGGAAATATAGGTACATGATTAATTAGTCTTGTAGCAGCATAGGCTTGTTGCCTTTTGCTGTGTTCTCTGCACAGTATTACTGTAAAGATGTATGAAAAAAAAAAAAAAAGGAACTGTGGGACGCTAGTATTATGCCACTCTATACAAGAGGATCGCAGTTGTAGTGCCTCTCCATGTACATAATAGTTCACTGAATTTTCCCTATATTCATATGCGCTATTGTTTTTCTTGCTGAGCCTATAGTTAGGCTTTCTTGATGGACTTTTTTTAATAGAATGCTGTGATCATATACTTGAATTAGTAGAACGAGGACCTAATTTCAGCTTAAATTGATAAAAATGCTGGAGGGAGCCATATATATTCCTTGAATTGTTGCCAAGAATGATTTTGATGGAGAGTGAAATTTCATATTACTCATGGAATAATTAATGTAAATTACTATATAAGAGAAATAAATACAAAGAGGAGAAAGAAATTAAAAAAATTGAATTTAGATAGAAATTTTCTTATTGTTTTTAGATGATCCTGATATATGTATATATCTCTGTTTTTCAAAAGTGGATTTGTAAAATAACTATTATGTATGAAACTCTTTGTAAAAGCATATTTTCAGCTTAAATTGATAACTGTTGGAGGAGCCATTGTATTCTTTGAATTGTTGTCAAGAATGATTTCTGGAAGAGAAGGAATGGGCAGGGTGCAAGGAATAATGGCCTTTTTCCTTTTTTCCAAGTTTTTTTAAATGAATTAAATAGTCATTTTAGCATTAAAAATTAAGTAATTAGTATAATTAGTCCTCTTTAGTTTTTGAAATGAATTAAGTAGTCATTTTAGTAAAAACTATGTAATTAGTCCCTATATTTTAAAATCTATTTGTAACTTTCATTTTTGCTTCTATTTTCTTTTCAATTTTTTTTTTTGTTTTAACAACTAGCAAAAGAAAAAATAAGTAAAAATATAGAAAACATTAATGAGAAAAAATTATTTTTTAATAAAATGATATTATGATGAATACTTATCAAATGAGTATTTAATTTATTTTTTAAAAAATAATAGAAACTATTTAATTTGTTTTAGAAAACTAAAAGAACTAATTTATAATTTATTGAATAAAGAATGTATGAAACTTACATTCTCAACTTGATTTCATTTCTTGTCTTTTTGACTCTTTATGCTATAAATTATTTTATTTAATTTTTCAAAATAAATTAAATAATTTCTCTAGTTTTAAAAATAATTAATTAATCTTAATTTTTAAATTTTATTTGTAATTTAAGCATTTTAGTTCTATTTCAATTTATTCTAATTTTTTTTAAAAAATATGGCGAAATTAATGAGGAAAAAAGATTTTTTTAAAACAAAACAATATTAAATTAACTTAATTAACACTGTTAATGGATTAACTAATTAGTTTTTAAAATAACAATGATTATTTAATTTGTTTTTAAAAACTAAAGGGACTAATTTATAATTTCCTTTTTTTTTTAGAAATAGTTTTTTTTTTCTTTTTCATTTTCCTAGTCCTTAATATTTTTGCGGACACAAGTCGTGATAGTTTTTATATTATATTCTTGCTCACTTGTTCTTTGCCTTTAATTGTTTAAAGCTTTTCTTCACTGCAATGTTCTTTTCAAATGCAAGCATCTTGATTAACAATTGTTGGACTGCAATCTGTTGACTTTTGTTTATTTGAACGACCAGTTATAAAATTTGTTATTTTATATTCTCAGGCTACAAAATCTTTTCTTCCTTTTTTTCGAGAAAAAATCTGATGCTACCAGCCCATCGCTTCAAAGTAAGCCTCAAATTAGAGTAAATTATAAATTAATCCCTATAGTTTTTTTACCAAAAAAAAAGCCCCTTTAGTTTTAAGAACTAGTTAATTAGTCTCTATAGTTTTAAATCTATTTGTAAGTTAATATTTTTCATTATTTTTCAATTTATTTTGTTTTTTAATAAATAGAAAAGGTAAAATTATGAAATAATTGATGAATTTTTTGAAATAAAATAATATTAAATTAATCAAGATCAATATTGGTTAATATACTAATTAATTATTTTTAAAAAAATATATATAATTCGTTTGGCAAAGCTTGTAAAACTAATCTGTCTACTTTTTTTATTCTTGGCTTTTGATTGTTACAAAAAGCCTTCTTTCCTTTGTGGGTTAAACCCAAAATAGGCCCGTTTAAGATCTAAGTCAAAAAGATGTTCCCAATAATTCGACTTTTTAAGTTAAACTGGGATAGAAAATTCTGCATTGTTGGAGGCGACGTATTTATTTATTTAGTTAGAATTTTTCTAGAATAAATAAACAAGTCTTAACGCCAACTATGGACAGCGCCGTCAAGCCCACTTGGCGAATATTCAACGCGTAAAGCCGAAGCCTGACGCGGTCGAGAATGGACTCTGAAGCCTGAACCGTCGAAATTTGAAAAGCCAAATAGGAAAGGGCACCGAAAAAAGGAACAGAAGACCATGCCCTTTTAGCACATTCACCTTTATAGTCCTTCACTTTTACATATTTGGTATGAGCCCCAATTATTTGTACCCTCTTTGAATCTGACCACTACCCATGCGATAAAGACTCGTCAAATCCCAAAAATTCAAGAGCTGCATGGAATTCTTTGACCTTTAAAGAGAGATTAAGTCACAAATTGAAGGAGTCGAGATTTGACCTAGGCCCAGTGGTGCAGGTACACTATCTCATAAGCATATTTAGTTTAAGATTGATGTGCTAATCAAGTTGTCTATGGATATGTTAAAAAGGTAAATATTGATTTTTTGTAAGTAAAAATGATTTTTCATAACCATTTAGTAACTCAGTGATTGTTAATTGCAGTAATATATAACTTTTGCTTATGTGGATTCAGCTCTTTTTACATTAAAAAATCTTTCTTTCTTCTCAAATGGCATGCTAGATGTATGATCGATATTCAAAATAAATCCTATAAAAATGCCAATTGTTTTTAATATAATAAATCACCCAATTTTGTTTCATTTAATTCATGAAAAAATATTTTTATCCAATATAATGAATTTAATTCTAGAAAAACATTATTGGTCTTTTCTTTTTGAATAGGAATTCTCATTGGTGTGTCTATTATTCGAAAAAATATGCTATAAAATATGGATGACTCACAAATACAAGAGGCCGGAAAAAACATCCACCAAGGGCCATAAAAAATAAAATAATATATCAAGAGGGGCACAAATACCATATAACTTCTTACAAGGACTAACAAGAAAAGCATAACCTAACAAGAAAGCGAGACGAACCTAGGAAAGTCAAAAGCCAGACTTAGAGGAGAGGAGAGGAGAAACCCCTATTTAACAACGGTCTCCTCTTCTCTTTCTTGCAACAAGAGTTCTTGCGGCATCTCAGACTCAGAGATTCACACACCGTCTAAAGCCTCTCTCTCCCACTCTGTCAAGTTCTCACTCTTACCCTGAGAAATAACGAAGGAAGGGAGTTTCTTGTAGAGATATGGGGAAGTATGTGGAATTGTTAGATGCTTTGAGAATAGCTGGAAGATTTTACTCTCATTGTCCACAAACTGCTCGCAATTTCTACCATCCTCCCTCTAACTTCGAGGACCAAGGCCACCACCAGCACCATAGCCACAACGGCGGCAGTGGGAATAAAGCGCCGACTCAAGACGCTGTTCGGGTGGCCAGATGTGGAGTCAAGGCAGCAAAGGGTTTTGATGCTACCGACTTAGTCTTCTATTCAGTCTTGTAAAAGCTTTAAAATAAGAAACACATTTTTGACCGATGGATCGATGTATTGATTTTATTTTTTTACTGGTTCTATAAACCTTCAATTGAATATTGAAATACCATTGAATTGCTTTTTGATGATATAAGTATTTTTATTTCGTTTTGATTACTAAGTCTTCCTTCCCAAAATAAATAAAAATAAAAAATAAAAATAAACCTGCGGTTGCCTTTGGTGGTCTGGGGATGCGCTGGTTTCTTCGGTTTCATGTCTGTTTTCTAAAACGACGAGTCACTGTATGACAGTGTTTGCTGATGGACGGTTTGTCATTCATGCAATGAGTAAAGACTAGTTCTCCCCCACTACACGAGTAAAATGAGGAGGATTCAGGAGTGACGACAGCTAGGAAGAGCTCCTCTGTCACATCGAGCCATTTGCAGCCCGAATGTGCTGGTGGCCCCTACCGAAGCGTACCACTAATGAGGATGGCAAATTGTCTCACTTCAACGAGGTCCTGCCTCGCAAGGTCTTTTGAGTTGATCGGGGAACGGAACGAGGCATCTCGTTCTGTAATAATTTTGAATGAAAATGGAACAAGATGGTATTTACCCTCCTCATCCCACCTCGTCCGTTACTTTAATGATTACAATTATATATATATATATATAAATTCTGGGATTACAAACTAGTTAATAATTTTTAAATAATAAATACATGTAATAATTTATGTTTTTTTAATTGCATTTGTGAAGTGGGATTACAAACTAGTTAATAATTTTTAAATAATAAATACATGTAATAATTTATGTTTTTTTAATTGCATTTGTGATACTTCATCAACTTAATGAAGTTTATTATTTGTTCAATTGAAAACAGTTTAATATATTATGAGCCATATTGTAAATTTGTAATTGAATATAATAAATTATTATCTTTCTTAATTATATTTTGTTATAGTTTAAAATTTGATATAAGATAATATGAAGTAAAATAGTACGAGACAAGTGCAAAAAATTAAACAGGACACTGATGCCCTGCAAGGATCCCCACCCTTGAAAAACTCTGTACCATCCCCACCCTGCGTGAGGATGAGGTGGAGTTTTTAAGGCCATCCCTGCTCTTGTCTCGTCCCATTGCCATTCCTAAACACGAATAGTAGTGGACACGACTGCTTCGAACACCAGCCAATGACAAATCTAATGTGCAAAGCTGCCCAATTCACATGAATTTAGGATTACCAAGCAAAGGTGAGCGAAGTGCAAAGCATTGGTTCATAGCTCAACTAATAGCTACAATGATTCCATAAGATTGGTTTCTTTTTACGGGATGGACATATATATATATATATATTGAAAAGATAGAACTCTAAACAATCTAGTTGTATTTGCATATTTAAAAAAGTACAACCCTATAAATGTCCTTTGGGAGCATTGTAAAAATAAGAGACTTCCAACGAAAGAGAGTATGCATGAGAGGCAAATTGATTCGTTATCCAATTTGCCTTCCTATAACTGTGAGAAACATGAACCTGTCATGATTTTTGAAAGAGTTTACGTATAGTGCAGACTAGATGACTGCTGACACCATGAAAATACAATAACTGAATTGTCAATAAGGAGTTAGCTTTCAAAAAAACTTGTTTGTAACCCAAATTTTTTAACATCTCTAAATCAACAAAAATATCCTAAAGTTCAACACACACAACAGAACAAACACCAATATAATATGAGAAATCATATAACCAAATATATGCATCATCCCTAAGAACACCCCTAATTGTAGAAGCACCAACCGAACCTTGAAGGGCTTTATCGGTGTCGAGTTTGACATAACTAGCTAGTGGTTTTTGCCAACCTATAAGGCTTCTTATCCGACACTATTTGATTTTCTTCTGAGGGACACCATATTTATAGTAGCTATACTTTGATTAGTGAAGGCAAAAACCACATACATCGACTTACCAAGAGGTATAAAAACTTCTTCGGAAAGACTTTTGTTTCGCCAAGACCACAAGTACCAAACCATTTTCTAATTTTTTAAGGATGGCAATGGACAATTATCCAATTCATTTTCTAGTTTTTTACCTTATTGATGTGGGAGCATCCATCCTCCCACTTGATAAAAAATCTGAAACCCTTAAGCGGCCAAAATTTTCAGCATTCTATCCGTTTAATTTTATTATCTTTTATTTCCATAAAAATTCAAAAATTCGGTTATAATTTTAGGAGTTTTTGCTTTGATTATAGCTCTTGCCTTGTTTTTCTCTACTTCTATGCTTCAACTATGGACGAGAAATCCTATAAAGTTCCCTACATATACTTCAAAGACGCATTTCAGTGAATTGAGTTTTAGTTTGTACTTTTTCATCCTTAGAGAGGCTTCCGTCAAATCTTCTTTGTGCTTCTATAGGTCTGTTGCTTTGACCATAACGCCATCTATGTACACTTCAAAATTTTGGATAAAAATTGAACTTTAAACATGCGTTTTTAGAGAGAGAAACAGAAAGATACATGTAGCGAGAAACAACAAGGAAGCCTTCAAGAGAGAGTAGAAGATAAAAGAGGAAAGTTGTTTGTTTGTTTTAGAGCAATAAAGATTGGATATATATCTTAAAAAATATTTCAAGTATTTCTTGTTAATTTACTAGATCCGACAGAAAATTAACTTAACAATAAAAAACTAAATAATTAGTTTTTGAAAAGAGAGACTAATTAATTTGTTTCTCAAAACTAGAAAAAACTAATTTATAATTTACTCTAATATAAATCTGAATCCATAACTTTTAATTAAAACAATATTTGACTAATTTTATAACTAACTTCTGATTTAAATCAATAGTTTAAAAACAGATTAAATCAACTTGCAAAATTCACGCCAGACGTAACCTAAATCTATTTAGCATGCCCTAATACTACCTTATTTCTTTCTGGTCTAAAAACAAATAGTACATTGTCCTATTTAACCGGCTCTGAGGCCAAGTTTTACCGGTTGAAACAAAGGTATCTAGAAATACATGGGTGTCTTTCAGGTTGTCTATCGGGTGCAATACAAAGAGAAAAATAGTTCATTAAAAGTTACAATGCAATGATATGATTCAAATCAATGAGCAATGAGAAACATGGTATGCAACAACAGCGCCAAGCAGGAAATTTTGCTCAAAGCCATGAAAAACATTCAGAGAATACTTGTTTTATTGCTACACTGCAGCTCCGGCTCTGGCTCTGGCTATGGCTACAGTTTGTTAGCTTTGCTGCAGGTTTCAATTTTCTTCACCTAGTTTGAGCACAGCTGAGAAGGAAAAACTTCTATTGCTTTTCTATCCCAATCCTACAACTTCATGTGACCAAAGCCTCCTTTAAATGAACCATAAAGAGGTTGTGATCTTCTAAAACTGAAAATATCTTCTATTTCAACTGAGTTGGGTGGGAGCTGTTGGCTTTTATCTGATGCGTAATCAGATGAATGCAGTTTACCATAAACCCGTACACTTAATGTCCTCTTCCGAGGTGCACCAACTTTTACATGTTCATTGAAGAAATTTATCAAGTCTTGTAGTGTAAGTTGTTTCAATGCGGCCACCTGTTGTAACAACATGGATTAGAAGTTCAGAACATTAAAATAAAAAAAAAAAAAAACCCTCACAACCTATAGAACTATTGATGAAAAGCATTGTTCTTATTGGTTAACATTTCATGACATGAGATTCTAGAAATGATAACGTGTGCATCTTAACTTGCTGTTTCCATAAACAGAATTATAGATATTTTCCAACCATGTTGCAGGGGGCAATATTAAACATCTGCATAAAGATGAGAACCATACCTCGCATTCTCTCCTATCGAACTTCAGGGTCCCATCAGAAATCTCTCGCCAGTAAAATGCAGATTCTTCCCTTAAATTCTTGTGCTTCTCAAGTTTCATGTCTATTAAAGCATTAACGTTACTCTGCAAAGTACCCAATTCGGTAATTAATTTAACGAACACGGACAAGCATTTTGAAATTAAATACTTGTGAACGCAAATGGATTGCAAGACTGATTCATCAAAAACAACTCACTTGCAAACACCAAACCTCAAACAAAATGAGGCAATAACAAAATAAAATCAGTTTAACAAACAAGTAAATAAATAAGTAGCTAATATCAAACTGTTCACAACGATGAATTGAGTTGCGGACTAGCTAGGAACATCTACATTTCCTTGCCATTGAAGTTTGATTGTTCAAAAATTGTGCAACTTTAACAGAAAATTAGATAAGCGAAAGGATTTGTTAACTGGTGGTGAGGAATTAATCTATTTTTTCAGGTATGCAATTTGCAGCTAGCTATATCTCATTCTGTCTTGGAAAAAAATTGCTGGTAGAAAATTTACACAGAAGACGGTAAGCCTTTGAAGGCACAGATTAAGCATGCACAACTCAAGCTTGTATTTTAAAGATTACTCCCTCTTCCAAAAGGAATTCCCACTTTTAAGAAACATTATATTTTCCCTTACTGTTAGAGAAATAATCACTGCATGTAAATAACATTGAACAATGTCATGCCGGTCAGAACAAAGTTAAGCAAATATTAATCAATTACGATAAAGATAGAATCTCACCTTGAACTCATCACTGGTCATCTCGTAAAGTTTAGTTTCAAACGTCTTGAGGAACGCCTCGACTCTCAAATCAATTCGTCCAGGATCCTGGCAAGATTTTACCAAGATTAGTGTAGAAATGTAATAACAAGAGGACAAGAGGTTACATGACAAGAAGAGATGCATGGAAGAAATTCTAAATACCTTCACTGAAGATTGAATAATAAATTGCACTCCACGAATACCAGTATCATTTCTATGTTGGAAAGAAATTGGTTAGGCCTAAAGAAAAATCCATATTGGGAACAAAATTTAGAGAAAGCAAAGCTGGATACCTCTGTAAGAGGGCAGTAATGTACCCAAGTTGCTCAACAGATCTAAGCTGGTGGAAAGCTTGCTGCTTTGCAATTAAAGCAAAAAGTTGAAGTTTCACATTCAACATAAAATCATCTCGATGAACCTGCAAAATTGAATGATTTTCAATCAGATTTGCATCAAATTTTCCACTAGAAATAATTCATTCAATCCAGTCAATTACTAAAAACAGACAAGAAAAAGCAGTATTTATATTTATTTATATGCTACCGTATTTCAAAAGTCATACTTCCTAAAGTTGAAATCAAATACATTCATGACTTAATGTTATATCTTCATCAACTCCAAAAATAAATAAATAAATAAATAACATAACAGCTAAAACAGCCACATTGACTCACAAAAACCATTTCTCACAAGCAAATGATACTACCTGTATGTAATGCACCAGAGCAGAATTCTCATCACTTGGATTTAAGCCTTTAATTGGATATAAATAATTCATGCCTCTTTCAAGCTTGACAACTCTATTTGTTAAATGCTGGGACGGGAATAAGGGTTGGCATATAGGGCCTGGACCCTTGTTAAGAACATCTTCAATATGCACAAGTATTGACTCTGCTTTGCTGCGTTCAACATTACCTGGATGAACAGAACAATAACTAATGATACTTAAATTCAAGACGAGAATATCCATGATCATAGAAATACAAGACAGGCAGTTGAAACCTGCTATATAGCACTCTAAGAAGGCTCTTGAAAGCATCAATGGAAGAAACTTTGCAAGATCTGCAGCCTCAAGATGAGGAAGTATTTCAAGTTGTTCCATCCAAGGCCATGTTTGATCCTGTAGTAACAGAGAACAATAGTACAGAGCCTGTTGATAGGGCTGCTGGAACTTCAAATTTTCGTACTCCTTTATCACCATTTCCTGGAAAAATACAAGGTGTCCATCAATGATAATCATTAACAAATGCACTGCTCATGTGTTCTTCCCTATCTTATGCTTCCTCTATGCAACCTGTAAAAGTCACCTAGACAGGAATTCTAAAGAAAAGAAACAATAACAATATTAAACAAGCAAAGAAGAGGAAGAAATAATTCAGTGGTTCTAAAAGTGGCATTCTTTTGATCAAATTCCACATGAATTTTTCATAACTTATTCCTCAACCTGGTTAACATCATCTACAGGGATTTGCTCATATATGCCCTTATCTTATTTCAATTATCAAAATTCCACTTGCCAAAAAGACGAGAAAAAAAGCTCGGGTTACGAGGAAACATAAAACACAAGCTCCAACCACTTTGCTTGGGTTTCAGAAGAATCAGAAAAAAAAGACCATTGCGTTACCTTGATCACAGAAAATCTGTCAGGCTTCACTTTAAAATTTACCATTGTTTCAATAACAGTTTCTAACAAGATCCAAAGTTTGTGATTGTAACCAACAACAGTGACCTAAAACAAGAAAAAGCAAAAATAAGTTGCATGTGAGAGAACTGACAGAAGAGAAATCATAATAACATACAACATTCAAATAGGCAACTACCTGAAAACCACTTTCTGTGTTGTCGATGCTATAATATAGACCAGCAACCTGTGCATAATAAGCTGAAACATACAAAATAAACAAAGCTCTTATAAAAGAACAAATTATCCCACTTCAATCGTGGTTTCATGAAAAGCTGTTGTAAGATGCAGAACAAAAACTTATCAAAAAGAGAAGGAATTAAATTTTATCTTCACTAAAATAAATCCAATTTTTACTTCATAGTACCATATTCATTCAGGTCATCCATCAACAACCGTGCAAAAATGTCAGTAAGAACTTCAGTCTCAGGAGAGCTGCTAGCAAAGGGGCAGTTGAAATCTATCCTAACAAACACTTTGGGAGTAGAGAATATCGTGTCAGGCTTGTACCATAGTGATGAATAGCATGACTTTCTTAAGAGAACTGGGAATTTTACCTGCTTCAAAGGTCAGTCGCATCAGTAACTAGCATACAAAAAATTGATTATCATATAATAGATGATAGAATTCCATCAAACCTCCTCCTGTGCATCCTTAAGTGATAAGTCAGTAGGTATGAACACATTATGCGCTGGTAGATGCAAATTTTCATTAGGAGCAGATAGCATCCATTCCTACAATTTGACAAAAACTTGCAAAGTCTCAGGTTTTGCTCCCTTACAAGATATTCTAATAATAAAAACGAAGCTGCTTGGTTTAATGAGGACAATAGTAAAGCAAAATAAATTACAAGGCAAGTCCAAAAAGATTTAATTTATGAACACCACTGAATGGATGATCTCATAGGTAACAACAAAAACAGACCTGGATCATGGAGCCAGTGATTTTCTCAACACTGTATGCAGTTTTGTACCATGGCTCAGTCATTGAAGTTTGGCCTTCAAATTTCTTTGACTCCCAAAAGATTCTGTAGAACAAAAGATGCTTTATTAGGAAATTTTCTCAATCATGTCGGCGTCCAAAGAGATAACTGACTGAACAATTTGTACGAACAAATGAAGATATGTATAGAGCACAACAAACAATAATCCTGGACGAGGAAAAGAAACAAGTCTGTAAAAGTTCAGACAATGACTAGTTTTCCTTTAACATGGAAAGGCAGATTACAACTACTATTGTGAGAACACATGCAAAGTGACTGTAATGCCAATCTCAATCATTAAAAAAAAAAAAAGGCAAGAGAAAGTTATGTCATCTTTCTGTAACAAATGGCCATATTTCTTCTAGTTTGAGACATTCCCCTTAAGCGCAAATGTCACTGCAATACATCAATTTCACTGCATTCCACTACTATTTGATTGGGATCTACCATCATTTACGATTACCAGTCCCCTCAAAAGCAGGGTAACATAGAAGCAACTCAACCTGTAAAAGGAAAAACAAAATCACATGCATAGAAACTAAAAAATCTATAAGATTGTTCTCACTTGCATTCTCTTGACGTGTATTTCTTCATATACCACCACTAGCTTGTTCTCGTTATAACTGATTAGAGTGTATGACATTGATTCATCACAACATTGCATTCATTCAAGCATTCTAATGCTCACTTATTTTTAGGCTTGCAATAGATATAGATTAAATGTATTATTCCCCTGTGCTCTACATAGTTTAAGGCTCAAAATATTTTCTGCATTCAATCTTTCTGATTAAAATGCCAAACAAATAGTTAATGAGAACTATAAGCTGTGGCCCAGAGTTAAGATAGATGCCAAAAACACAGGGAAATAACCTCTTTAAGGTGTACTGTTTCAGGGAGATTAAAGAAAGCTTTATCAGACGTTCATCAGGACTAGAAAGCCCTCTAACACTTCTCTTTATTTCTTGTATTATATTTACTGGTGGTTGGCATATTCTCCTGATGCAATTCTGGTTTCATGCCTTACTAATAAAATCCTCTTCATCGTCATAAACCAAAAGAACAGAATAAGGGAACCAAAAATGTATGCTTCTAATTTGTTATTTGCACAAGCTACAGTTTCTTTGAGCTCTAACAAACTCACCGAACGTTGTCTGGGGAAAGTTGGTTGAGTACCGTCTGAATTATGCTTGGACTGAAATTAGAAGGCAAGGAGGATCCCACCAGCCAATCTTTTGCAGGATATATCTGATAAAAAAGAAACCAAACAATCATTTAAAGATTGTTATTCTGCACAAATGTTAGCTGCAAGATCCTCATTCACAAGCTTTGAAATACATACAGCATGAAAATAAACATATACAAACTTATGTGCACATATCTATTTTATATGCAGGCAGGTATGTGTATGCATTTACCTGAATGCATCTTCAAGCTGTTTACAAGTAGAGAGAAAAAAACCTCTCAAACAATCTATAAAGAAATATATATATATATATATATATATATATATTCTTCACAACTTTACCCCAATGCATCACAAACTTACTCCAACTTTACCAATTACAGTTTAGCAACAGTAAAAGCTATATTCTTCCATCAAATATCTACCAGTTAAATCCTATAGAAACCAAAACCCTTTAACCTTTCTAGCAACCTTTAAAAATCCATCTTCTTTGTAAATCATCCTCATATTTAAGAGGCATACCTTCTAATTATATTAATTTCACCTCTTTTTCCATTTTTTTTTAAAACTTAATCACAAACAATTTTCCTTCTTCTGACCTTAAATTCAAAGGTTAAGGATTTCAGAATGTTTTCACAAGAGGCCACACCTCATCAAATTAAAAAAAAAAAATGCTTATTGTTTGTAGAGGAGGAATATGTGCTTTAAATCTCGCTACATTGTTCAGTGGGAGCGATTCTCCCACAAGTTATACGGCGCAATATAATGGTGTAGAATATTTTATATAAAAACAGCAACCAAGGCAAGATGACAAATTCCAGAGGAAGTGAATAACTTTTTTTCCCTTTCAAATCCGTAACTGACCTGCATATTGGATGCAATTCTGACAACATAATTAATTGGAGGGGTTTTGTCCTGATAGTGGAATGATGTCTCACAAACAGCAGCGAGCTTCATAAAAGAGAGAAAAGGTTTCAGCATCTTGAATAAATTAGAAAGAGAAACTTCAATACGGAATATAAGAGATAATAAATAAAGTATGTAACTCAACAAAGAGATACAAAATATACTCTGCGAAAGAAAAAAAATCATTAGCTTAGAAAACCAGTAAATAAAGGATAGAAACACGAAAATGTCAAGACGCATGGTGGAAAAGGTCCACATCTCCTCAAGCTTCTTTAGTTCAAGAGCATTTTTTCCTCAAACTTGTATGAGCCAATTTATATACCCATAACTTCAACTAGAACGTAAAGATCAACAGACCCTACCTTCCACAGCATGAGAACGTCAATTAAATCAGAATGTACATTAGTTTAGTTCATTTTGCAACATTAAACAAACTTTTAGGAATTAACTGCAGATAAATTCATTATAGAACATCTCAATGTGCAAGCTCTGTAAAACAGTTTGTCTTCTCACCTTTCTTCTTAACTAGCTAGCATTCTATTTCACATGACTCTCTGCTGGTTTGCCGAATCACCACAATAATGACATTCTAATTTCTCTCTTTCTCAAACTAACACCTATCAACTTCTCTGAACATGGTCTATGTTGTTAGAGTTGCATATGAGAGTGGCAAGAAGTGCATCCGATGCAACATTAGCCATTTCAGCGTTTGTCAGTAATATTAAAAAATGGCAATCCATAATTATATAATCCACTTCCATACCTCATCAAATATCCATTTACAAACGCCAGACTGCTGCAAGAGTTGAATGTATTTGAATAACAACCCAACAATATCTTGCATGTGCTCTGCAATCCGACAAACATAAATGAATATTTTAGAGAAAATACATTAATCCCAGATACAATTATGCCCAAATAAAAAAAATGAGATAAGCTAGGCTTTGCATCTCTGTTAAATGTTAGATTGACCAAGAGCACAAACAACTGAGATAAAGATGAAGGGTAGAAAGTGCCAAACTAACCATGGCCAGCATCAGTAAGATTAATTACTACATTGAAGAAAGAAAACTCTGTCGTCCCAGCTCCTTCACCAGCAGACAAATCAGTTGCCCATCCTGCATTTTTTTTACCGTAACCAAATCTTAAGGTCAGTCTGCTTTTCAAAGGAGAAAAGGAAGAAGAAAGTCAGTGTCTCCGACATCATAAATACAAGACAGGTAACCAAAGGCACAGAAAAAGCACAGGAATGCACATGCACACGGCAAACGCACAGAGTTCATTGAACATTAGAAGCAGATTGACAAGCAAAAAGCAAACCAACTGTGTAAATCCAGTAAAGTAGAAATAAGAAAAGATAGATCGTAAGGATGCAGAAAACCCACCTAAGGTTTTCAAGACGTAAAACAAAGATCCTTCTACCTCATGGCCAATCAGGTGGCCAAGATATCTACAAGGTGCTTCCTTATAGTGAAGAATGCCCGGAGTTATTGGCCAAACAATGTTCAGTTTGTGACCTTGTTTTATTGGGACACTCCTAACAAGTATCTGAAACAAATACAGTACAGAATAAAGCTAATATTAAACATCCTCACGAATGTCTTTCTACAGTTCAATCTTTTTTCCAAAAGTATGAAGCAAGCAAAGTGTCAGAACTGCAGCAAAACTCAGCATACCTGTAAATGTTCTGAGGAGCAAGGCTGACCAGGAAAAGAGAAACAGTTCCTATCCTTGTTTCGAATTTCCTGGAACTTATCCTCGACAAGACATTGTATTTTATCAAGGCTTTCTGAAGATTTCCACGAGAAAGGAATTAATAGTTGTAATTATATACAAATAATGAAAATAAGACCTAATTGATATTGAAGGGAATCTTATTTACTAACCTTTTGCATATATCACCAAGTTCATGAGGTTGGCTGAATAATTTTCTTCATAGAGCTTAATAAGCTCAAGTCTTGTATCCAGCCCTTTTTCTTTTGGCCGAACTTCCAAAGTGTCCCAATTCCCTATGATTTGACAAATTGACACAATTCAGGAAAAAATAGAAAAGTTGATCTTCCTGAATATGAAAAATCATTGTAGTTGTAAATATGATTCCTTTAGAAGTTAAGGGAAGCCAGTTAAAGGCACTGGTCCTTAAACAATTAACGTTAGAAAGCAATTAAAAAAATTATGTTGAAAAATATTAGTAATTAAACTTTAAAGACCCAGACAGTGATAAGCAGTATAGATGGTTTTGCTGAAAATCAAAAAGCATGCACCACTTGCTACATGCCTGGATTACCGTGTTCTATAAATAACATGCCAACCCATACACACATATATGCATACAATCACACATAAATACACATCAACATATTCAGCTAACCTGTACTGAATTTGTGATATGGATGACCTTCGTCACTTAGATGTTTCTGAAGCTGCATATAATAAAAATTCAAAGAAAACAGTTTGTGAATAATGTTACTAACAGAAACGCTACAAAGATGTGATTGATAACAAGCAACATAGTTTAAGACTTGTTAAATGCTATATTTATAAAGAATGAACTATATATCAGTATTCGTTAAGGTTGTGACCTAGTATGATGTACATGCTAATTTTGCACCTTCATATAGTGCAGGATCATAACATGCACTGTTAAGCACAACCATAGAACTATCCAATGGAATACCTGTTTTTGAGTGACTAGGACAAAAGGACAGGTAATCTGCGATGTTTTACTTATAATTAATTTGGAAGGTTCAATTGGCCTCTTGTTTATCTAGGTGGTTTTCACAAGTGGAAAGGAAAAAGAAATCTAGATATCTGTAGGATTCCTCATCATTAGAAATTAACAAACAACAAATCAACTAAAACAATTGCAAAAAGCAACCATTCAGAACTGAAAAAAGAAGAAATTAACAAAAGAAAACCGACATAATCTACCCCATAGGTGAGGAAGTGCATTAAAAGGTACCTGGCTCATTCTCCAGGCATCAGACAGTAAATTTTTCTGATTCTCTGTACGAGAAAGACACAAACAACAGAATAAGTAATTACCAACACTAATTCCGAAGAGAAACTCAGCATCAAGCCAGCTTAAGAAACCCAAAAAGAAAAATGTCCTAAGAGCAGCAGCTAACCAGAATCAACTGCCTTAATTTCCCTCATGGTTGCATCAGCCGACATCAACGGTTTGATAAAGAACTGTGCAAATCTGAACAGTAAATCACATTCAAAGATCCAGGCTAAAAAACTTTATGAGATTACTGACAAAACCAACAAATAAAAAAAAAAAAACATTTTTTACCTGTCCAGAGCATCTTCAAAACAATCACTGTTAACATCAAAATAAAAGTTGGTGTGGTCCGAAGTCGTAAAAGCATTCATACTGCCCCCATGCTGCGCATCAAGAAGACAACAAAATAAACAGAAAACATAGTTTAGTAATACACAAATTCTCACCAAAATTGCAATTTAACCTATTAAAACAACAGAAAAGAAAGGCTTTCTCAAGTACTTAATTAAAATGATAATTAATAATTACCTCAGTAATGTACTTAGAGTAACTATCCTCTAGTGGATATTTCTCACTTGCATAAAACAACATATGCTCTGCCAATACCACAAACCAAAGAAAAATTCAAAAACCTTAAAGAAAACCACAAAAATGAAATTTAATTCAAAATTGAAGCAAAAAAAAAAAAAAAAAAACCTACCAAGAAAATGAGCAAGTCCTTCAAGACCGACTGGATCACTGAAATAACCAACACTAACATTCATAGAAGCCGCACACTAAAAAGCAACGAACAACAGAAGGAAAAAAAAAGTTAGAAATGACCTAATTAGTAATTAAAAGCGAAAGCCAAATTAAAAAAAAAATATTGAGAAATTAGCATTGCCTTATCGGTGTCAGGATCGCTAACGAGAAGGACTTGGAGACAATTTCGAAGGACAACTCTCTTGTATTCTCGCTTATCAGTTCTCGCCTTCACTATCTCCATCTCCGTTTCCCCTTTGCCTACCGCCATCGTTTCTTTCTTTCGTGTTGATCAGTCCTGCTTTATTGGTTTTGGTTTATATATGGAGAGAGCCAGAGCCGGAGATCGAATTTTTTTTTTTAAGACAACGTATTTTTCTAAACGATGGGAGATTTACAACGGTATTAACTAGAAGAAAGTACAAGCAAAAAAGGTTATTTTATTTTACCAAACTTGGGTCAAATAATAATAATAATTTTTTTTAATTGAATGAGAGACATAAATTTATTAGTCTATCAATGTGACAAAATGGGTTGAAATTGTCTTTTTTCATTAAACTCTTCTTCAAAACTTTTGTAAATTAGTTAAATAATTCAAGCTAATTAGCCTCGTGAATTAATGAATAAAATTTAAAAAAATTTTGTTTTTTTTAAGCGTTAAATTTATAGAAATATTTATGTTTTTTTAAGTGTTAAATTTATAAAAATATACTCTTCTCTTTTCTATACAAGATTTTTGGGTTAATAGCATAAGATGTCTCTTTATTCTTTTAATTTTTTTTAATGTAGCATCTGTATTTTTGGGGGTTTTTTTTTTTTTTCATTCATCACTTATTTTCATTTTTAAATTTTTTTATAATTTTTAGATTGAAACTGACGTCAGACTTTAAAAAATCTATACGACATGAGGTCAAATTTGATTCGTTATGTACTTGGAAAAAAAAATATCTTCGCAGAAAAGGGTGGAAAATAAAAACCTAGGTATAAATCCTTATTTTCTCTCTCCTCGTCACCTCCATCAAATCGCATGATCCATCTCTTCCCCCTTTTCTCTTCCTCTTGATCTATTATCTCTGTTGATGACATTCTCCGTCCAAAGCCGAATTTTAACCCATTAAAGCTCAAATTCCTATTCTTCTCGTCTCTCTTATAATCAAAAACTCTCAATTCGTGAAAATCTTAAAACCCCCAAATCGATTTTACTAGTTATGTTAAGAATACGAGATTGGATGAGGCTTTTTGATTCGTTTGAGAGGATGCCTAAAAGGAATTGGCCCTCATGAAATACGATGATCACAATGTTTATTCAGAATGGAAACTTGGCAAGGGCGAGGAAGGTGTTCAATGATATGCATGAACTAATGTTATTTCATGGACTACAATGATTACTGGGTATGTTCAAGAGGGAGAAAGTGAAGCAGCATTGAAGGTTTTTATGGAAATGAATCAAATGATAAAGGATGGTAAAAGCATTGAAGACCACTTGATTTCATCCAAGAAAAGCTAAGCTCGTGTCAAACCATGTGAACCCAATATGATATCTTATGACTACAGATTGAGAGATACTTTTTTTAAGTGACTTTGCCAGAAGTCTGTTTTTTCTATGTAGTACTGTTGTTGAGATTCTGTTGTGTGCTGTTGTTGGAAGGGTAATGGGATCGATTTTGGTAGTTTGTGTTTTGATGCTAATGATGGTGTAGTTGATCTTATTATCAGTTCTGTGGCTCTTGTAAATTATGTTCGAGAACTTAATTTATTCATGTAAATCTCTCATCATTCACGTCTTATTTTTTAAAATGGAAAAAAAAAAAAAATTCCACTCATTCTCTACCTCTGAAAAGGAAAAAAGAAAAGATTTGACGAAGATATTGAGATGTGACCAATATTAACTTTTTGATATATATATTGATTTAATCTTAAAATATTGAAATTTGACGAATATTGACTTTTTGACTGATATGTAACCCATTGATAAGAGTTTCTGGTCACAAGATGAATTTAATTTGCAAAATAATCTGTATTCTTTTCTTGATATAGAGCATTGAGTGGGCTAAAGTCCCAACAGTGAGTATTGTTGGTGTCTGTTCTAAGACAAAATGACGAAGGAGAGAAATTAGCTTTATGCTTTGACGTTTGTTTTCTTCGGCAAATTAAATCTGATCTGTTAGGTCATGTAGATTTTTTAAGTCATTGTTAGTTTCAACCAAAAAATTAACTCGAAAACAGTCAGATCGGTCATATTAAGAAAAAAAATCAAGAATAAAGAGAGGTGATGAATTAAAAAAAAATTCCAAAAAAAAGATCAAAAGAGTAGACTGACGTTTTATGAGATTAACCCTAAAACCTTTTCTATAATTATAATATGTTCCTTCAAGATTTTTTTGTCACGACTCCTAAAATGGGTTACAATCAGTACGGGAATTGAGAGAGTTATAAAGTCCATCCCGATTCAAATAAACCTCGGATAACTAAACTTAACTATCAAATCTGTAATAATTAAAATATTATTTTCAATCCACAAATGTACCATCCGATAGTTATCACTTTATAAATTCTATCTAAATTTATAATTCAACAATCAATAACCTAATTAGTCTATATCACATCCAAATTCATAATATTTGTGCATATCCAACATATTAATTAACAAGCTAACACGACTCACATAATTTAATTGCAAAGCTTCTAAAGTTTACGACAATCTCAAAACTTCTCAAGCTTTACAATGTGGAGCATCTTTGTTAAGGCGAAATATGGCTCTCCGGATTATTTCTTAATCATGTACAAATGCAAGGGATCATTGGTATGGAGATCTCTTATGCCCTATATACAAAACTTGCGAGACAGATCGATGTGGGTTGCAGATAAAAGACATATCAGACTTTGGAAGGATAAGTGGACGTTGGCAGACCTCCCATCTCCTACATCAGCTTAAAGAACTGCTTTAGCCCAAGCAAAAAACAACGACCAAGTATATGTAGCTTTGCTGCAACAAATTAGGGAAGAATTGGACAGATTGCTACTAGATAGTTTCGTGGATGACAAATTGTGTTATATGAATTCTAAGTCAAGAAAGTTTAGCAGTATAGACTATTATGAGGTCAGCAGAGTTCATGGATAGAAGTTTGAATGATGGAAAAGCTTATGGAACAAATGGATTTCACGCAAAATTAGTGTCATGGCCTGGAAATTATTGAATAATGCCATAACAGTGGAAGCTAATATTAAAGCTTGTGGGATACTGTTAGCTTCTTAGTGTAAATATTGTAACAAACCGCATGAGGAGACCAGGGAGCACCTCTTCCTTTTCAACGAAGTAGCCAAACAAACCTGGAATTATTTTGGAGATATGCTAGACATACTGACTGGAACCACATCCCTCTAGCAGCTCATGACTAGATGGCTTCCTAAATATACCCCACAATCATAGAAATCTCTCTCTCATGTTATTGCTTTTAATTGTATCGTTTGGGAGTTGTGATTAGCAAGAAATAAAGCCTACTCTGAGGAGGAGGAAATGAACGATTTGGCTATTAAGCACAAAGTTCGTCATTGGTTAGCCAACAATAACAAGCTCTTTACTCTTTCCATCTCTTGTCAATAATCTCTCTCCATCTCTTTCAATTTTACAACCTAATGCCACTGCCCAACCTATGAGTCATGACCCTGAAAGAGCATCTCAAATCTTGGGCTTATGCATGGAGATGTTAATAGGTCCGGTATAAAATGGATATTCATTTTATCCGATTCAATAAATACCCATTAAAAATGTCTAATAGTTATTCGAGTGAATAAGAATGCAAAAATACACATTTACTAATATGATTTGAGGATATGAGTATCCATCTTTACCCTATTGATACCTACTAATTTATTCTGATTTTTTTATTAACATACAAGGACCTAATTGCATAAAATTTAAAAATTAAAGATCAAAATATTTTTTAAAAAAACTTTAAAGGACCATAAAAAATTATAGATAAATGATCAAAAATGTAAAAAAAAATTAAATTTTAAGGATCAAAAAATATTTTCTTAAAAAATATAAGGATTAAAATAAATATTTTTAACAAATCAAATTTAAAGATTATTTAATAAATATTAAATGAGTAGGTAAACTAGTATAGGTCGGATATGAATTGGGTAAAGATCTATATGAGGATTGCTTAATGAGTTATGGGTAAGATATTTTTTTTATGAATAGGATAAAAAATTAAATTAATTGACTGGATATCCACCTATTATCATCCCTACATATCCACTTATTGCCATCCCTACATATGTTGTTGCCTGCACTGTTGGATAAAGATTAGTTTCAAGATGGGGTCTTTGATCTTAGCTAACTTGTCGTAGTATGTTCATGGCAGAGGTATATGTATGATCCGTTGCCAGGGGTTTTTGAGTTCTTTTGGTCATAGTGTTCAAAAATCTTTTCTTTCTTTTCTTTTTTCCCCCTTTTATGGTTAATTTGAAAAAGTTGATGGTGGACGGAATTTCATGAGAAAATTAATGGAGTAATTAATTACGTGAATACGAATTGATGGATGACTATACAAAATTCAAAAGTTTTCAGTGAAGAGTGGTAACTGAAAATTCGTTTTTGATGAAATTCGAAGAAATCTTTGTTATCGAGACTCAGGTTTTGAGAGCTCACAAACCCGAGATTAATATTTCATGAATTCTTGTAATTAACCTGCTTTTTCCACTAGCATTTTAAAATTTTAGTTGTAGAGAAAAAAATATACTAACTAATGGAGCAATAACATGAGATGGACAAGAAGACAAGCTGATGTCAGTGAGCTTCATCGTACAATCTTTGTAGTAGGCTTCATTGTACGATCTTTGTAGTCGGGATTGTTAATGCTAAGTCACATTTTAAGAATTTATTTGATTTTCTAACGAAAATTAGGCTTTCATACAAATAAACATTTCACTTCTCTGCAAGGGAAGGGCCCAAGACTGCTTCAACAATGGCTCAGCCCATATGGTAAAAAAAATGAAAAAAAAAAAAATGAAAATCTTGTGGATAGAGACCCAAAGCCTGTTTAGAAATTTAAAAAATAATTTTTATTTAAATCGAATAAATCAAAAACTGAATAAATTTTGGTTTTTTAACTGAAAATTCAAATTTTAATTCAATTCAGTTTTGATTTTTTATAATTTAATTAATCGAAAATTGAATCAAAATGGACTAAAACAAAATTGAACAATGATTTGCTTATACCTAGTAAAAGTTTGAAGGAGAGAGAATAGCTAACAAAAAATAAAGATCACGTGCAATGTAAATCCTCAAATATGCTAATTTGGTCAAAGAGTACCATTTCTTTGTTTTTAGTCAAAGAAAAAATAAAAGTGAAACTGAATTTTCTCATCAAATGAATTTACCTTGCATGGTCATAGAAGCGTAAAAGGTAAGCATTGAGAATTATTTAATAAGACAATTTATAAAAGGTAAGCAGTGAAAATTATTTAATGAGAGAATATATGTATATTTTTTTTATCCTTATCAATGTATAAGTTGTTTTTTTTTTCTTTTGAGGCCTTATAGAAAAATTTTCAATTAAATTTTAATTTTTTTCTTTTTTTCTTAATTAGTTCAATCTATTTTTTTTAAAGTATTGTAACAAAAAAAAAAAGAAAAAAGAAAGATATTTCGCATTTGATATAGGATATAATGTCAAATTCCATTAAGCATTCTTCTTAATTAAAAATATATTCAATATATGTATATATACTCTAGTTACTATTTGGAAATAGATAAATAAATATAGATAAATGAATAATCTAATCTAATCTATACTAAATATATATATAAAAACAGAAAATAGATATAATTTCCACAAAATTTGTAAGGTTCGTAAAATTTCACTTAAGTGATAAAAACTTTCCAGTCTTAATTTTATTCCGTATGCATCCAACATAATTTTGTTAAGATATTTCCACAAAATTTCTTCTCTTTTTCCTTCTATGCCCTTCCTCATTTGAATTCTCAAAATAAATAAATAAAAATTCTTTTCTTTAATTTTCTTATTTGCTTCCACTCCCATCAATACTGGTAGAAGAGAACACGTGGAAGATCCGAAAAAGCTTCGAGAAGATTCGCAAAAGCCCAAAACTGTTTTTTCTGTATAAGCCGGGCCTATAGTTGGGTCCATTAGGCAGAGTATCATTAGCGGACGTTAAGTCCTGGATAGATATCTTTTTTTTTAAAAAAAAAAAAACACGTAAACTGGGCAGAAGATTTTTTATCGTAAAAAAAAAAAAAAAAAAAACAGAATTTCTACCTTTTTTTTTCCTTTAAAAGTATTGTTTCATGAAAAAATATATATATACTCGAAGCTAACAGAAAATCAAAATTAAATTTTCTTTCTGAATAATTTTAAAAACACACATTTTACATAAAATATGTTTAAATAATAGATTCTCATATATAATGATTTTAAAATTTAAAATCTGAAAATCAAAGAAAAAAACATCTTTAACTAGAACTTAAACCTAGAACCTTTTTTTCCCCTTACATAGTTATGACAATATTTTGGTAGACGAGAAATTCAATTGATTACTGTTACAAGAACCACACTTCATAAAAATCCCTTAATTAAGGATACTAAAGGCAGCAAACAGTATCATTCAATTTGTATCAACCTCAATTTTTTATTTTTTTTAAAATTTATGGTTTACACTAAAAGTATTCTTAAATTAGTTTTCATACATTTCAATATTAATTATTTTCTGAACGTAGCTAAAAAGCATTTTTCAATACACAATTTTTGATATTTTGATACTAAATTTTCAAGAGTATTGATCATAAAAATTAAATCCTAAACTGATCTAAAAATTAATTTTTATTTACCAACAAACTACCATTTGTGATTTGTACCAACCCATTTTAATTTCCTTTAGTTCAAACACTAACCCTCATTAACGTAGGAGCTGCGACTGACCGTTTTACACCAGCTATTCTGTTTTCTATTAAATAACCAGCTCAGAGATCTTTACTATCTGCCCACCAAAAAAAAATTGTGTGGAAGATAGATATTAGAGAGCAAATGCAAAAATCAATCCGAGTAAAAAGATGTACGAAACCGGTACATCTTTGCTTCAATCATTAACCACCCTTAACTAATTACCTCGTTACAAAATCAAGCATCAAACTTGCATATTCACAGGCTTGTGGAGACATAAAACAAAAGATTCAAGATTTGGATGAGACCGCACGTAAAAAGAAGTCCTAGAAGAGAGCAAATCACGGCAACCAAGGAAGGGTCCAATGGGGTCCAACCACATGAATCAAGAAGCTACGTGGAAATTTGGGACTTGGATTTTGAAAATAGAGGAATAGACCGACACATCCCACGGCTAATTCGGTGCCACTTGAACATGGGCTGTTTTCTATTATTTACCTTCTTCAAGGCGTCCAACTTTTCTTGTATTTGTATTATAAATATACAACAGATTTTGCCATTGTTTTATACCCAACTGGGAACTTTTTTTTCCCTATTTAGAGAGCCAGTTCTGGTTGCTTATAGACAAGCAAAATACAATGCCTTTGTTTCTCTCTCTTTGCTTTGCTTTCCTCTTCTCTTTTTGCCATGGCTTAGCTTATGCTGCTACTCCACCTCCACTTCTTGATGGTAAACAATCAGCTTTCTTCACTTGATTATGTGCAATATTTTTGGTAGTTAAGCAAAGAAATGTTCAATATTTTCGTGTGATATATCATTTTTTGACACTATGTGACATGTCAACATTTTGCAGGACTTGTTGAAAATGGGGACTTTGAAGAAGCACCAGCAAAATCAAACCTCAAGAAAACAGTGATCATAGGAAAATACTCACTCCCCAAATGGGAAATCAATGGCTTAGTAGAGTATGTCTCTGGTGGGCCACAACCCGGTGGCTTCTTCTTCGCCATTCCTCGCGGGGTTCATGCTGTGAGGCTAGGCAATGAAGCCTCTATATCTCAAAAACTTACTGTCAAACCAGGATCAACCTATGCACTCACATTTGGAGCCACTAGAACCTGTGCTCAAGATGAGGTGCTAAGGGTCTCAGTCCCTGGCCAGTCAAGTGAACTCCCTCTTCAGACCCTGTATAGCAGTGATGGGGGTGACACTTATTCCTTGGCTTGGAAGGCCATTTCTGAAGTTGTCAAGGTCACATTTCATAATCCTGGTCTTCAAGAGGACCCCTCTTGTGGACCTCTATTGGATGCAATTGCAATCAAGGAGATGCCACCTCTCAGTCGTACTATAGGTAAGATCCTGAAATTTACAGGATTCTTAGAATTTGCTCAAGTCATATGTTGTTTTATGTGCTCTGTTTAGACAACCGAAGTCATTTTTTTCCATTCCTCTCTATACAGGCAACCTAGTGAAAAATGGTGGCTTTGAAGTTGGTCCGCACTTGTTTAAGAACTTCTCAACTGGGGTCCTGCTCCCTCCCAAGCAACAAGATCAAATTTCACCGCTCCCTGGCTGGATAATTGAATCCCTCAAACCAGTAAAATACATTGACAGCAAGCACTTCTTCGTCCCCAAAGGACTTGCGGCAATTGAATTGATAGCAGGGAGAGAGAGTGCCATTGCACAAATCATTAGGACAATTCCCAAGAAATTCTACACCCTCACATTTACAATCGGAGATGCAAAGAATGCTTGCCATGGATCAATGATGGTTGAGGCATTTGCTGCCAAGGAAACTGTCAAAGTTCCCTATGTTTCACAGGGAAAGGGTGGATCCAAGACTGCAAGTTTGAGGTTCCAAGCAATTTCAGATAGGACAAGGGTTACATTTTACAGTGCATACTATCACAACAAGTTGCACGATTATGGTCACATGTGTGGTCCTGTCTTGGACAATGTTATGGTGTTTCATACTATCTAATAAGTCAAATGTTTGATGGTTGCCCAATATTGTCGCGATGAGGTATTTTTTAGGTAATTAGATGTTTGTAATTGTCTATGAGAGATTTTACTACACTGAAATGGGTGTTTAAACCTTTTGAAAACAGAAACAAAATAAAAGTCATACTACTATAAACTTGAGTCATTTGCTTTCGAATGATTGTCCATCACTGATAATATGTTTTTAATTCCTGTTAATTTTGTTAATCAAATGACAATAAGGGCATTTTCCAGGATCCCATTCTCTTCTCAATGCTCGCGGAATTGGATCTATAGCATGTGATTTCAGCATCTAGGGCTTCACTACGAAAAATTAAACAACATCCGGTTGAGCTCACTGTCAATACTTGTATGAATCGTAGTGGGTTTTGGAGGTTGCAATATTCAAATGAATTTCTTTGAACAAATTTCAAAGTTTTGCAACATTTTTCAGTACCCCATTACAAAAAATTTCTATTCAATTAAAATAAGGCATTGAAGACAGTACCATTTTGTTGCAAAAGAAGCATTCTTCCATATTTTTTTCCCTTCTCTATTGTGGTCAGTCAAAAGATGTACCAGAATTCTGCAATTCCAAGTTCTGAATACATGGAAAACTAACCGTTATGAATATACCTAGGTATTGATTGCCACCTTAGCTTTTCCAATAGGATGCTAAAGTAAGTCATAATTTTTATTTCCTTAACCTGTGCACTCATCCATCTATCTGTAAGCAACCAGTCGTCCTAGACCTCGTATTTTCAAACGGAAATTAAGGGAAATGAAAAGCGTCTAACAACCTTTTTTTGTCTTCTAGGCCTCTCTCGCATGTGCCTGTAGAAAAAAAAAAGAGAATATGGTGTTTCCACCATCCAAAAGCCATGGGCCTCTATCGCATTGAAAAATGGAAAGGGAACGACAGTAATAAAAGACTACACTTTACATGGATGATGTTCCAGCTCCTGAACCTACTTTTAGAAACAAATAGAACTATATTTCCGCTTGAACGATGTTGGTGGAAGATAAAAAAAATTGCAACGTACATCAAGTACTCCTTGACGAAAGGGAAACCAAGGTACGCTTTAAACAAGATCGAGAAGATATGGATAAGCTCTAAAAAAAGTTGCCCTCCATGCATTATTGCTAGCAAACACTATACATGATTCACTATTGTCAGGAAATGGCCAAAAGCCCATCATCTTCTGACGTCCATGTCATTGCCAAATGAAGCGGTTTGCTTACTATAAGGTAAGGTTCTAGTTAAAAAAATTAGTATAAAAAAAGTTATACCGTTGCAGTAAAAAAAGTTTCAAATTTGGGTCTCGTAGATTTGCTTGCAGCAAAATTGTATGACATAGAGCATAGATCTTGAACAAGAAGCGTAATTGGAGCATGTGAACTGAAATTAATTTCCATCTCGATCTGTCCATGAGGAGGGCAGCAACCGAGAGTGCCTAGAAATTGTTATTCATATATGGATGAAGATTCTTTAGTAATGAGTTATTGTTTAACTCAAGTAACAAATTTCGGATACGTAATCCATGATGACAAGTAGAAAAATATTTGTGGATCGTGAACAAAAGTCTTTTTGTGTCGTGTACTTACAAAATAAATCTTTTTAATTGGATAGAAGACCGTTCAATGCCTAAATTAGTGTTTAGAAGGTGGAGAAATGACTTGAAAATAATCTTATATATTAATGTTTATTAGTTTGTATGTAATTTAACGAAGGTATAAGAAATATATCGAATAGACTTGTTTGAAGGGTAAATTAATTAGGAACCTTTTGGTATTTCCAATCACTACAAAAAATTAAACCTTAATTTAAGGATGGATTTTTTGGTAGCTAAATCTATATATTTCATCATTATTTTCTTTTAGCGACGGAATAACGACGAAATCAATCATTTGGTAAAATGCTTATTGCTAATACATTAGCGGCGGAAGTTAGTATCTATAGCTAAATTTTTGACATACAAGTTGTCGTAATAGTGAAATTGTTACTCGATGTGATAAAATTAGCGACATACATGTTATCGCTATATGGACGTACTCTCACCGCTAATGTGATGAATATACCGATGAAAATTTATGTCGTTAATATAGAAAATGTATTTTTTTTAATTCGTTATTATTGTGCCTCGCTATTTTAGAATTAACCAAATCTTCTAATTACCATATTCAATATACTCAAATCTTTTCATTTGACCAATAACTAGGGGCAATTCAAATACTTTTTATCCATATTTACTATCAAATCTCTTTGAAAGTCTTCTCACATTTCGAACTTCATCTCTTAGTGAGTCAATGAAATGTTTCACATCAAATATGTCCTAAAAAATACTATAGAAAAATTTATATAATTAACATTAAAGAACTACAAAAGAAGAAAATATCATAGCATGCCAAAAAAAAAAAAAAAATACCTATTGTTGGCCCAAAAAGATGATTTATCAAGTTCGGAGCAAAACAAGGGAGGTTCAAAAGCCCGACAAAACTATTCGAGTTAATAGCTTGAAGAATAATTAAGAAAAGTAGTGAAAGAAGTATATATCACGAGACCATTTTTTGAGGTATGAAAGAAAGGAAAAATAGAGGAAAAGTAGTAGGTATCGAGAAGAAGAGCGACGACAATGGTTGAGGGTTTTTAAGGGATGGAGGAAAGGAAAATGAAGGAAGAAGAAGGGTTCTGCTAGATTTAAGGGTTTTTTGATGATGGACATGATTTTGTCACTAAAAATAAAAATTTGTCATTGTTTAATTGGTCAAAATTGCAACATTTTTCCTCTTTTAGTTTCAAAATTTTGCCTTTTGCCTATTTAGCAATGAAAAATTCCTCCTTTGGCAATGAAAACTTTTGTCACTCGTTTGATTTTTCAAAATTACTCTTTTTTTCTCTTTCGTGGACAAAAATTTCCTCCTTTAGCAATCAAATTTTTTTTCGTTGTATTCACTCCAAAATTAGAGATGAATGTTTCATTCTATTGCTAAAAATATTGCCAAAATTAATGATGAAAAATACCTTTCATCACTAAATATCGTTTTTTTCCTCTTATAGCAACATAAAAGAGAGTCCTTTACTAAAGACTATTGCAAATTAGTTGGGAATCCATCATTGATTTAACCGCCAAAAATTTACTATGTAATTTAGCAACGAAATTATTTCATCATTGATTTTTCATTGTTAATTAGTCGTTATTCTGTCTCCATTGACCCAAAACTTCTAAAAGCTACTATCAATCATTAATCATTCGCTAATCTATCGATGTTTATCGGTAAATTTAGTTCGTCATTAATTTTTGTTTTTATTTAGCTATTTTTTATAGTGAGTAAGGAAGCATATATATGGCTTGTGATGAGAGTTGTAAGAAGCGAATGAGTATTATGTGAATACTCTTCCTCTTTTTAGAGATGTCTTTTGTGTTCGTAACTTGCATGCTTGGTTCGATTTTGATTTTGGATCACAATTTTATTCCCGATCCCTTTTTTGAGACTCATCTCCTTTATATAGGTAGTAGTAGAAGTTTCTTGCATGGTCGAAAGGCGGGAATGTTCTTTCTCTCTTAAGGTTAGTAGAGAAGCCGAAAAGTATTGGTATTTTGCCATCATATATTTGATTATGCGACGGTATTAACGCAATTATGATAAGTGATGATCCGATTGATTTTATCATTATAGATTTTTTTATTTAATACTTTGGCTCTAGGTGAGAGCAACATCTTTCTCTCTTGGACTAGAGCCTTCAAGCTAAGAAGATTCCAAAACCTTCTTTTAGAGAGGCCCCTCCATTGGGAGGAACTATTGTCTTTTAGCGCTTTAGGCATGCTTAATGGGCCAGTTCTTTTTGGAATGTTGTAAACGTTGATTGAGACCGATGAGTTTTTAAGTTATGGGCTCTTAAACCCTTTCTATTAGGTCGTGTTGCAAAAAAGCTTCCCATTATCATTTGTATGTAATTTAAGAAAGATATGTGAGATATGGAATAAACATGTTTGAAAGGTAAATTGGGAAATTTTATAGTTCTAGTGAAGGTGCATATGGCTTGTGTTAAGAGTTATAGGAGGGGAATGAGAATTACATGGATACTCCTTTTCTTCTAAAGATCTCTTATATGTACAAAACTTGTATGTTACTTCAAATCTTGGTTGTAGATCATAATCTTTATCCTAGTCCCTTCTTTATATAGGCATCAATCGAAGCTTTTTGCAAGCATTAGTATCTTTTCATTATTGTATTTAATTCTATGGTAGCATTAATGAAGTTATGATGAGTGATGATCGCATTGATGTCACCATTAAAGATTCTTCATTTAATACTTTGTCTCTAGATGAGAGCAACACCTTTTTCTCCTAGACAAAGCTCTAAAGATAAAAAGATTTCAAAACCCTTTTTAGGGAAGGTTTCTCTTGTTAAGAGAAATAAGTGTCTTGTGATGCTCGAGACCTACTTAATGGGCCAATCTTTTTTTTATGCGTGTTATAAACCCGATGAGATTTGGAATTGGGGGTTCTTGGGCTCTTTTTGTTGGGTCGAGTTGGAAAAAGGCTTCCTTTAACTTAGCTATTTCGCATTCCTATGAAAATGATCATCTTCATACATGGATCTCACAACGGATCTCGTAACGGGATATCCGGTGAGCCAAACTACTTGAATAAAAATTTTTAAGATTGAGGTGACTTCGAAATAAATGTTAGGTGAAATTCGAAAGGTAAATGCTAGTAGACAAAAAAGTAGTTAAGACATTTGTATTTCCCTTAAAACCTTGTTTAAGAAATAGGTTTAGAGTAATTACATATCTATATATAGATAAACGAATCTATAAATATAGGTTAAAAAAATAAAGATACATGTCGAGTGGTTTGGAATCTAAGATTTTTAGTAAATCATTAGACCTCTATGAGATTTTCATATCATATTAAATTAGATAGTTAAGATTGAATTTTATCCAAAAATTAAGTTTTATAGTATTAGATTGCTTTTCAACTATATATATTACTTCTC